TAAAAAACAAACTTTGGAGTTTTCAGAAACGAACTGGACTAGTAAATTATGATTGCTATGAATTACTGCTAATGTTCAAAATGAAATGAGCACACAAACCTTAATCGTGAGACACAAGCTGAAAAGTGAGCGGTTGAATGCTTCCTCAAACAATTAATGGCGGATATAAATTCAAGTTAACGAAAGTTGTAGTATCCCACGAAATTATGGGAGCAAAACAGGTCAGCATGAGGAGGAACCATTTGTTTCTTTCTATCTGAAGAAGAAGCAACGTGATTGAGTAAAACTGATACATCAAAGGAGCTGATTAAGTTGACAAGATCATATTCCAAATAAACCATCACAACAGAAGAGCTCGCAAATCAAATTTTGCCATGAATAAATCAGTGTCACATCACACTACTCAACTGATCTGGGCATGGCGCAGGCGCAAATAGTTTGCCACTCAGAAATACACAGATAATTGAATTCATAGTCATAAGAAATAAAACATAAATAAGGTCAAGTGAAAGTCTTAATTTTGTCAAATTGAAGAGCAAAACCCGATCCACAATATTTGGTAGGTCGTCAAATTATGGTTTTGGGAGTTGGATGGAACATGGAAAATCGACCGAAAAGCAAAACAGTCAGTTGAATCAAGGCGACAAGAAAACGTACCAAAAAAGTCTCCATGATACACCCCATACTGCATCCATAAACACGTTCGTATAGTGAAAGCTCCTTATTTTTCGCCAAGAACAACGCACTCACAATCACCACAGTTGCGCGGTTAATGAGAAAAGCAGTAAACATTAAACAGTGTAGGTAGCAAACATGTTCCAAAACTAGAAACTTTTATCTGCCATTGTGCCAAACCAACCGTATTTTCCCATCCCAATGAAGGAGGCTGTCGAGTTGTTTCTGATGACAGAACGACAAGTGCATTACTTAATGTTGCGGTCAGGAGATGATAAAAAGTGGACAACTTGTTAAGATTTTATCGTTCGAAAAAGAACTAAGTCAACAATTACTGGTTCTTAGTATGTACCTAAAGGGAAGTAGAGAAGAATTGCAGCATTCAGTTCCTTACTGATTCGCAAGTAACCTCGAGAGCACGACAAAAAGGTACGACCGAATCTTTCGCTTATGCCGTTAGCAGAAACAAATAGTTCACTGCGAAGCATGAATAACGCAGCCCAAGAAAATTGCGTAGGTCTTAGCTCGAGAGCAACCGGTTACCGATTGGTTAGCCCACCGGCCACGGTCTATATCCAAGCCCGTTTCCTCCCTTGAGACAATGATACAAATGGTGAAATCGAGTAACCAAAGGATGAAACTGCTGCACGATAATATTAGCCGTAAATGCATTTAGAGCTCCAAATCCAACTATAAAAATGCGGATGTTACAGGCTATCAGTTGTTGTGTAATTGAATGTTATGCTAATCGAATGGAATGTTGAGGATCCTGAGTAATGGACTTGTTCCAAGACCAAGAAGGCCATTGCTACAACAAATGGTGTAACAGTCCATCGTACTCCGAAGTGAATGGGACGAGTTGCCTAAAGCCGTATGCTTAGAAGGCCACAAGCGCATAGAATGATAGCAAAAACTTAACTTAATTCTGGTTAACATTAATCCAATTTTACATTTCTTCGTACTATACGACTAAATTTGTGCATACAGTGGAGGTGCGCATCACCTTCTGCCCAGGAAACAACACGGGTAAAGGGGCAAATTTAAATTCTACATCCAACAAACATAAACGCAATTGAAATGAGAAGCTATAGTATTAATATGCCGTTGAACCCAAACACAACGATTTTCAGCATGAAAAACCACCCATCCATTTACGCGCAGAAAACGATGCAACCAGTACCATCAAAATTCCGTAGAGGGCAATACTTTTGAACACTCTTCATTCATTCACGTATTTGGGATTATTAATTTCATTCGACTGCACCAAAGAAATACTAACGAATCAATGAAATTTTACGACTAAAAAGGCAGTCAAAATGCATTTACGTTGAAATTACAGCTCAATAAATCTGCAAATCAGAAACACTCGACTATCGACCAGTGTAACAACCCATCGTACCC